ACGGCAGCCACCGAGCCCTGAGACAGGCAGTGGTGCTGAGACACCGCCAAGTGCGCTGCACAACCACCGAGGATGCCGGACAGATGGTCACCTGCTCAGGCCTGGGGGCAGTGTCTGTCCATGCTCTGGAGCCTGTCCCCAAGGCTCAGTGTGGGGGGTGGGGGGCCTGGGAACACCCACAGTAGGTGCAGCTGGGCAGCTTCTGCAGACCACCGCGCATGGGAGCCACTGCCTGGCGGCTCTGCCCAGGCCCCCACGGCCCCCTGGCCCTGCAGCATGGCCACCATCCCGGCAGAAGTGGGGACAGGAGCATCTGGATTCTGTCCCGCATGCCAGCTCTGCCGCCCGCTAGGTGGACTGTCCCCTCCCGCGCCCTGATTCATGCAGGGAGGGACCACCAGCAGCGTCTGACACCCCCGGCCCAGGGCATATGCTGCCATGTGTGCCCAGCTCTCTCCGGGGCTCTGGGACCAGGCGTCATCCAGGGAGTCCCGAAACCAGTGACGGCACTTCAGACCCTCCTGTCTCGGCAGCCGCTGGGGCTGGGCTCACCTGTGTCGTGCCTGGTCCTTGGGAGCTGCCCCCATGTCCCCGCACCCACGGAGCCCCTGTGTTCCCTGTCACCTCAGTGGCCAGCACCTGGCCTCCGCCCCCATGACCTGTCACCAGCTCTGTCTGTACTTGCTGGGCTGTGTGGCGCTCACATCTGCTCCTGGGGCAGTCCAGACTGGGCCAGTCCTGTGCTGATTCTGGGCCCCCCACGGTTGATTCAGCACAGGGTGAAACAACTGTTTTTTCTCTCGCACGATTCCCAAACAAATACAGAGCTACAGTGGTCTATTGATTCCCTCTGAGTTTTCCAAACAAATTAGTCTGTAATTTTTTATTTTTTCCTCTTTATTGCTGGACCTTTGGATTTACGATACTGTGTGAGAGGAATTATGCATTTTATACACACGCTTGGCATGCTAATAAATCTCCATAGAGACCTGCAGGTTTGCCAGAAATTCCAGAGTTTACCCACTGCTATGGCGGGTGTGGATGACCCAGGGACAGCAAGGCCATGGATGGGACGTCCATGGCCCCGCGGGCATGGCGCCCAGCTGGGGCTGTGTCTTGGAGCTGTTGGGGAGGCTGACCACGCCAGCCCTACTGACCCAGCGTGGACTTCAGTGTCCTAACAGTCCCTCCAGGGTCTCGGCTCGCCTTGGCTCCAATCTCTGTCACCTCCTGGGCCAATAAATCTTGATTGGCACCTCTGGGCAACTCATTATCTCCTAGAAAACGATTATTTCTCAGTTATATCCCACGTTTCATTTCTCCATCTGTCTCTCCGCTTCCTGCCTGAGTCCTCCTGCTCTCCCCTCAGCCGGGACAGCCTCCCCTGTCAAGAACAAGGCCAGGATGTGGGGCCCGGGGCCAGCCCAACACCCTGGGCCAGCAGGGCCTGGGGCGTGCTCCCGGTCCGCCCGCGGGAGCAGACAATCGGCAGATGTGCCTGCCTCTGACCCTGCGCCCAAGCAGAGGCCTTTCTGCCAGTGGCCGTGAGCACAGCAGGGAGCAGGTGGGGTAGCTGGCAGGTCATGGTGTCCCCCCAGCATTCGCTCAGCGCTCTGGGCCACCTTCTGGACGCCAGGCCTGCTTGGCCTCGCTAGGGGGCAGCAGGGACCTGGCGATGCTCTGCCCGGCCTCCTGGCGTCCCGCCAGCGCACAGCCCGCTGGGAACAGACATGGGAAGGGGGGCCGTGGGACTTCCTGCCGTTCTGCTGCCACCAGGGGTGACCGGAGACTTCCTCTCTCAACCGCCTTCCTCCCCCTGTGGGGCAGGGCTCCGCGTCCCCCCCCCCACCCAACAGGTTCTGGGTTTCCTCCCACAGCCCCGTGTCGTGGTCCCCCGCTTTCCCTCCTGCTCCACCACAAGGGCCAACAGCGCCCCACCGTGCCCCCTCGCCTCGCCCAGCACATCTGAGTTGGGGTGTGGGTCTGCCAGAGCTGCTGCCTACTCCCTGCCCAGGGCAGCTGAGAGGGTCCTCCTCTTCCGCCCTTCTGCGTCCCCGAGGTCCAGCGTGGCCTTGACTGCTGCTGAGACGCCTCCCTCCACCCCCCAGGCCTTTCAGGGGACCCTCCCCCTGCCCAGCTCTTTGCCGAGGGGCCATAAACCCTTCCTGGGTGACCCTTACAGAGAACCATGGCAAGAGGAGCAGAGGGAAGGCTGGACCCTGTGCTCGTGGTTTTTGTGAAGATGATACTCTTCTGGTTCAAATGTGAGTCGCCCTCTGCAGGCACGGAGAGGGCTGCTGCTGACCAGGTCAGCAAGCCCACTTCCGTCCTGCCAACTGTTTTGGTCACACAGCCCAGATAACACCTTCTATCTCAAATAGAATCTTGGTCAGTATCATTGAAGACAATAAAAAACAAGGCCCTGTTGAATAATGCAAAAGAAAATCACTATTTCCTATTGTCTGTCATCTACAAGTTGTTCACTCGAGTCATCCTAAATAGGATTGGCAGAACACTAGATGAAGGACAACCATGCGAGCAAGCCAGGTTCCGCAAAGGATTCAGCACCATCGACCATATCCACACGATAACCAAGCTCATTGAGGTTTCTTGGGAGTTCAAGATGCCGCTCTGTCTAACGTTCATTGATTTAAAGAAGGCCTTTGATTCTGTTGAGACAGAAGCGGTCATTGAAGCCCTAGCCAATCAGGGCATTCAAGCCCAATACATCAGGATCCTCCGTGAGCTGTATTGCGGATTCACTACCAGGATCTATCTCACCATTCTACAAAGAAGTGATCGTTGATGTCAAGAGAGGGGTGCGGCAGGGTGATACCATTTCACCGAAACTCTTCAGTGCCACCCTTGAGAACATCATGCGACGACTAGAATGGGAAGGAATGGGAGTGAAGATAGATGGTCGGCAACTACACCACCTCCGCTTTGCTGATGACATTGTTTTAATAACACCAAACATCAGCCAAGCGGCACAAATGCTGGCCGACTTTGACCGTGAGTGTGGAAAGGTAGGACTACAGCTGAATCTTACGAAGACAATGTTTATGAGAAACAGCCTCGTTCCTGACGCCCCATTCGCTCTCAACGGAACGACCATCTCCGAATGCAACAGCTATGTGTACCTAGGTCGAGAGGTCAACATGACAAATGACCTGGCACCCGAGCTGCGCGGGAGGAAGAGAGCGGCTTGGAACGCCTTCAAGAGCATCGAAGAAATAGCTAAGAGGACGAAGAACCTCCGGCTCCGGGCACATCTCTTTGATTCCACTGTTCTTCCTGCATTAACATATGCCTCAGAGACCTGGGCCCTACACAAACAAGATGAGAACGCTATTCAGGTCTCCCAAAGAAGAATAGAAAGAGCTATGCTTGGAATATCACATTTCACTCAAATGAGAGAAAGAATCCGGAGTTCTGACATCCGTCGACGATCAAGAATCAGGGACTCTGTCTCGTTTGCCAAGGCCTCGAAAATCAGATGGGCTGGTCACGTAATGAGATTTAAAGACGACCGCTGGACTAGAGCTGTTACCGACTGGATTCCACGGGATGTCAAAAGACCGCGTGGTCGCCCACCTACCAGATGGTCAGACTTCTTCGTCAAGATCATGAACGATCGGTTTGAGGCCCTTCATGTTCCCGGAGCGAACAGATGCCATTGGGCTACACTAGCACACGACAGGGACAAATGGAGACGTTACTGGCGCCCGCTCGAGCAAATCGACGACTAACGGGAAGTTAAGTGATTAAGTGATTTCCTAGACTTGCTGAGAAATCCACTGAGGTCAGGGGCAAAACCCTAAACCTTTTTTGGTCTCTTTTTCCTCTGGGGGCAGCTCACCTGGCATAGGAAGAGTGAGGAAACCTGCCTGAGGTGTCTCCTGGGCTCCCTGGTGGGCCCTTGGCCTTCGATGTTCCAGGCTTTAGCTCTGCCTTACGAGCTGTTTGCTCTGAATGTTTTCCTACCTTCCTGCAGTTACATCTCATGAAAACGTCAAGGGCAGGAGCCAGAGGTCTAGTCTAGCGGGGAGGGCACTCGCCTTGCATCTAGCCAACCCGGTTCCATTGCCTACAAGCCACATGGTCCCCTGAGCACGGCCAGGAGTAAGCCATGAGAACCACCAGGTGTGGCCCCAAAATAAAACAGTGAAGGTCAAGGCCTGAGAGCCAGACCCAGGCGCATGTTCGCCTGGGGAAGCCCGGGGGTAATTTCCGGTTCCACACTGCTCCCCAAACTGCGCTGCTGGGATAGGCCCTGAGCTCTGGCCAGGCATAGGCTCCAAAACAAAACACAAAGGAGCAACCCAAACGTCCAGACCAGGCGTCCCTGGTGCGACCCCCGTCGCCAACAGTGAATCCAGAGACTGGACGGGGTCGGATTCCAACACGCTCGGCGCTTTCTCTCCACCGCAGCCCCGCCGCCGGGATTGGCTTTTGCTGAATCTGGCGCATCTCCCAGGGCCGGGGTGGGTGGGGGTCGGGGCCTGGACCCACGCGGGAGCCGCCGGGGACGGGCTGGGGGCGGGACGGGGCCTGGGGAGGGCGGGTGGGGGCGCGGCCGTTGCGGGAGTGGGCGGGACGGGACGGCGGCCCGGGAGGGGCCGGGGCGGAGGGGAGGGGGAAATCTGGGTCCACACGGACACCAGGCGCGGGGGCGGGGGCGAGAGGCGAGTTCGGGTGCCCGAGGACAGGCTAGGGTCGGGGCCTGGGCCGGGAGTGGGGGGGCTTGGGGCGGGGCCTGGGCGGGAGTGGGCGGGGCGGGGGTGGGGCGGCTCTGGGTCCACGCGAGCGCCCGGCACGGGGACGGGGGCGGGGGGCCTGTTCCGGCGCTGGGGACAAGTCGGGGGTGGCGGGTTCTGGGTCCACGCGGGCGCCCGGCGCGGGGGCGGGGGTGGGGCCGGGGACGGGAGGCGTGTTCCGGAGCTGGGGGCGGGGCCCGGCGGGAGTGGGCGGGGCCCTGGCGGCCGGGGCGGGGCCCGGCGCGTGACGCGGTTGCCAGGGTGAAAGGTCGGCGCGCCGGCGCACTCCCAACATGGCGGCGGCGGCGGCGGCGGAGGGTTGGGCGGGCCCGGGGGCGCGGGGGTCCCGGGCGGCCCCGGCGCGGCCCTGGCGGCTGCCCGCGCTGCTCGTGCTGCTGGCGGCGGGGGCGGGCGCGGCGCGGCTGTACCGCGCGGGCGAGGACGCCGTGTGGGTGCTGGACAGCGGCAGCGTGCGCGCGGCCACGGCCAACAGCTCGGCCGCGTGGCTGCTGCAGTTCTACTCGTCGTGGTGTGGCCACTGCATCGGCTTCGCGCCCACCTGGCGGGCGCTGGCGGCCGACGTGCGAGGTGAGCCCCCGCGGACCTCCGGGACCCGCCGAGCCCGCCGCCCCGCCTCCAGCGGCGGCTGCCCGGCCCGCGCCCCGGCCAGCTTGGGTGACGCGGGCGGCCCCGGGGAGGACCCCCGGTGGCCGGCGGGGTCCCCGGTGCCGGTGAGGGCACCTGCCTCCCGGCGTGGGAGTCCAGCAGGTGTGCAGGGGCCGACTCCCACCTGGCTGAGCATTTCCCTGACCGCTTTCCAGGCCCAGGCTGTCCAAGCTGGACACCGCTGGCCTAAGGGACACCAGGGTGAGGCCTCGCTGGACGGACGGGACCGCACGTTGACCCTGCTCCTGCCGGACTCCTGGGCACACTGACCTTTGGAGGGGGTCCTTAGCCCCGGGACTGAGGGTCTCCTGAGGGAGACTTCCTACTGGCCCGGCCCAGAGCAGCTCCTGGGGAGGCGGCTGTAGGGGCGCCTGGCAGGATGGTCAGCAGGGCCTGCCCGCAGCGCCCATTTCTCGGCTCTGGCTGAGCTTCAGCTCTTCACTGGCATATTGGAGACTAATGTCAATGTTTTTCCTTGTAAGAAGGTGGCTTGGGAACAAAAGGCCACTGTTGCCTCTGCCAGCCGCCCGGGACCTGATGGCATCTGGCACTGGCCCCTAAAGGCCGGTGTGGCCTGCGGCTGCATCCATCTCCCGCTGGACGGCCCCCTCCCCTGAAGGCCATGTGTGGCCCACGGCTGTGTCTCCAGGTCCACGGACCCCGGGGCACATCACTGCAGGACTTGGCAGGGACACGTGGCCCCTAGCATGCCCCTCTGGTCCGTTCCTGAGAGCCTGTCCAGGGGCCGCAGTGCTCTGTGACCCCGAGGCCCGTTGGGCTGGCCAAGTGTGGCAGATTCCACCAATGTGAGGGACCTGGGCAGCCGAGGCTGCACTGCCTGGACCCCTTGAACTCGGAGCTTATGGACAGGCGCACACCAGCTGCCCGCCCCCACGCTGGGGGCCCCAGCACTGCTGGTGGCCTCAGACTGTCCCAGGACGGGCAACGTGACAGTCCCCATCCTGGGCTGGGGCGTCCAAGGAGGCTGGGGTGAGCCGGGGGCGCTGCAACAGGGCCAGGCCTCTGCCAGGTCTCTCGGGCCTGTCTGTGCCGGTGCGGGCGGGGGAGGCCTTGTGCCCGTTACTCTGGTCCCCTGTGGCTCTGAATGTGGCCATCTGCCGCCTGTGTCTCACACACAAGGCCTCACACACAAAGGCCTGCTGGCCTCCCTACCCACCCTGTGCCCTCCCAGTGTGGGCTGAGCTGCCCGTGTCCCTCCTACCTGTGCCAGTCACCCCCGGCTCATGCCTAGTCGTGTGGTGTGGCCGTGAGTGGCAGAGTCCCGACAGCCTGCTGACCCAAGGAGCACCGAGGGGGCCGTGACGTAGAGGCACCCGCGGCAGTGACAGTGACCCCCCAGCTGTCTCTCTCTCTCCCTCGCAGGGGCGAGCCCAGACACGCTCGGGCAGGGGTCAGGAAAGGGAGTCCACGTGGATGCTGCAGAGGGCTCAGGGCAGAGAATGTTCTGGAGACGCCCTGGGACCCGCTAGGTGCTCAGCTGGAGCCCGGGACTCTGCCGTGGGGTGTTTGCCATAGCAGCAGGGACCTCCTGCATGCGCCTGCCTGGCTCAGGGCGCCTCTCTGAGGAGTGGCCACTGCTGATGGCAGGGAGAGTGCCCGGGAAGCGGTTGTCAGGGGGCTCCCCTAGGCCCCTCCCTGCCGTGTTCAGTTCCAGGGAAGTGGGTACCTGCTGGTCCTGGGCTCTCGCTTGGTTTCAGGCCTGATCCGTTCCCTGACGTCTGTCCCTGGTGCAGGGTACTGGCCTGAGTGGGGCATGGCCTCATCTCGGGAAGCTGAGTGTGGTGAGGCGGGTGAGTCAGGCCACTGTGGCCAGAGCTGGGCCGTGGCGCGTTCGGCCTTCTCTGGACTAGGCTGGGCTGGCCCAGCTGGGCAGGGGCGATGTTGTGGGCAGCCCCACCATCTGCTGCACCAGGCCCAGTGTCAACTGTTCCTATCGTTTGGGCCCAGGAGGGCACACTCTTGCGTCTGTGGCCTCGGCCCTAGTGCCACCGAGACGGCCCTCTAGGGGACCCTGCACCGTAGACCAGGCGGGTGTGGGGTGGGCCGGGCACGGCACCTGCAGCCTGGGTGACAGCACTGTGAAAGCTGGACAGATGGACAGCCGCCCACCCCTGCCTGGGGCCTTGCCAGCAGCTGCACAGGACAGTGCTGGCCACTGGGAGCCCTGGGTAGTCCAGTCCAGCGTTGGCCTTGGTCTGCTGGCCACCCCAGAAGTGAGGGTGGGGGCTGGGGGGGTCCGGGTGCCTGGTGTGTCTGGTGCCAGGAAGGAGCTGCTGCCGCACCGGGAGGCCCGCCTCACCCTGCCCCGGTGGGTTGTTCTGGCTGCCGTTGGAGAGTGGGCGGGAGGCGGGTCCCAAGGGCCCTCTCAGTCCCACACTGTGCTGGGACTCCCCCAGTTGGGGGCGGAAGCCGTGTGTCTCTGCCCGGAGAGGCCGGGCTTGGGGTCCCGGCCCGGGCAGCTGATGCCACCCTGCTTCCCAGACTGGGCCTCTGTCATCCGCGTGGGTGCACTGGACTGTGCCGAGGAGCAGAACCATGAGGTGTGCCGGGCCTACGACGTCCACTTCTACCCCACTTTCCGGGTGAGCCTACACTCTACATGGCCCCCTGTGGCCTCTGCCCCAGGTCCAGGAACTCTCCATTAATGCCGGTGGGTCAGCTGGAACCTGGTGGGGCCTAGCGCCTGGGGACTCGGGAATGTCCCTTTGCAGCCCCGCTCAGGTAGGAACAGCCTGGCAGCTTGGGGCAGTTTGCCCACAGGGTCCAGGCTGGGCGCTGCCACTGTCCCAGTGGTCATTGTGGACATTCATGTGACCAGAGCCAAGTGCCTGGAAAATACTTGAAGCCCCTGCCCAGCGGCACGGTGCTTTGAGTGTCTGTCTCCCACTCTGGCCTCCTCCATGACTGTCCTCCCTCCACACTGCTGCCCTGGGCCGTGGATGTGTGGGCCCAGGGCCTGTGGTGGGCTGGCACTCCTGGGCCGCTCAGAGCAGCCCCTGGGTGTGGGAGGTGTAGGGCTGCCTGTTGGTTTGGGTGGGTTTCATCTTTCGCTTTTTGGGTCACACCCAGCAATGCTCAGGGTTCAGTCCTGGCTCTGCACTCAGGAATTACTCCTGGCGGTGCTCGTTGGACCATATGGGATGCTGGGGATTGAACCCGGGTCAGCCACATGGAAGGCAAACGCCCTCCCTGCTGTACTACAGCTCCGGAGCGCAGTGCGTGAGGCACCTCTTGTAACCCTGAGGGGGTGCCCAGGGGCGCTCCAGGGGTCAGGGCTTGCCCAGGGGCTTGGCCTCTGCAGGGTCCTGACCATCTCTTGCCTCCAGTATTTCAGGGCCTTCACAAAGGATTTCACAGTGGGAGAGAACTTTAAAGGTGAGGAGCAGTGTCCCCCGACCAGCCCCCAGCCCACCCGACTGCCAGTGGCCACTAGGGCAGGCACTTCTGGTCCCTGCGTGCCCTGTCCCCAGGGAAATGTGTTCTGGGTTTGGAGCCTCCTGGGCCATGGGGCGTTTCATGCTGCCATGGCCGGGTGCTCACTCCCTCCTGGGCCTGGGTGGGCCCCAGTTATCTGGCCACATCTCGGCCTGACAGTGAGGACCAGTGAGGCTTCACCCCCAGACTCCCAGCCCCGTGTAGGCACTCTGCAGGCTGTGGGCAGGACCACTGTCTTCGGCGCCTGGGCCCTGCCTAGGTAGCTGTGCCCGTGGCATGGCAGGACGGGGGCAGCCATGCGCATCACCATGGTGTGTGTGCCTGTGTGTGTGTGCAGGCCCCGACAGGGAGCTGCAGACCGTGCGGCACGCGATGGTGGATTTCCTGCAGAGCCACCCCGCCGCACACAGGCCGCCTTCCTGCCCGCCACTGGAGCCCATCGGGTGCGTGCAGGGGAGAGGGGCCAGTAGCCGCTGGGCCGTGGGCGGGGCCTTCAGGGCGGTGGGCGGGGCCTCCGGGCCGTGGGCGGGGCCTGCCGCTGGAGTAGCTCTACGTGCCTCTAACTCCTTTAAGGCCCAGCCACGTCCTTGCCCTCCTCGACGCGCACGACCGCCGCTATGTGGCCATTGTCTTTGAAAACAACAGCTCGTACGTGGGCCGTGAGGTGAGGGGCTGCATCCTCTGGCTGGCTTGGGTGGGCTCCTCTTGCAGGCACGTGCCTGGTGCTGCCTGACCTGGGCCACAGGACCCTGGAGGGGTGCAGCCAGGGGAGCTCGCCCCATTCTGTGCGGAGGAAAGACTCCCAGACTCTTCCCAGCACATGGTGGTCCCGGCATGTACCTGACCTAGTATCCTGCTGGGGTGGGGATCCTCAGTATCTGCCCCTCCACCCCTGCAGCTCTGCTCTCCCCCTTCTCCACACCACTGCTCCTGCCTCCCCCGCCACACCCCTGCAGTGCAGTTCCTGCACCGTCTGCTCCCCCACACCCCTGCAGCACTGCTCCTGCCCCCCCCCGCTCCCCCACACCCCTGCAGCACTGCTCCTGCCCCCCCCACTCCCCCACATCCCTGCAGTACTGCTCCTGCTCCTCCCTGCAGCTCTGCTCCCGCCCCCCCTCCCGCTCCCCCTCTCCCCTGCAGTGCTGCTTTTGCCTCCATGGGCACTGTGCGAACCTGCGCTGGGGGGGGGGGGGTGCAGCTGCCCACACTGGCCGGGGTGGTGAGTGTCCCCTGTGAGCAGGTGATGCTGGACCTGACCCCCTTTGAAAACATCGTGGTCAAGAGGGCCCTGGACACAGACCAGGCCCTGCTGGAGAAGCTGGGAGTCTCCTCCAGCCCGTCCTGCTACCTCATCTCCCCCAATGGCTCGCACGGCGTGGTCCACACGTGAGTGTGTGTGGCGGCAGCTGCCTAGCTTGGCCTCCCTCCCCAGTGCTCTGGTGCTGGTGCCCTCAAGGGCCCTGGGTGCCCCCTTTTCTACTCCTTGCATGAGCAGCAGAGGTGGGTGGGACAGGCTCCCTCCGTCCTGGACCGTAACCCAGAGAAGACCAGCGGGGCCAGGCTGGCAGCGTGGGGGCAAGGCCACCCCCAACAGACAGGGTCAGCACTGCTTCCACCCCTCAGTCGGGGCCAGGGACCCCGGCCACATGGCACCTTCATAGTGGAAGCGTGTCCTGGGGGTCACAGGGGAGGCGGATGGTGCAGCTGCTGGAGCTGCTGCCTCAGTGCTGCTGGGCCTCATGGCACCCCTTGGGCCTGGCAGAGTCCATGGAGATGAGGCCAAACGGGCAGCAGCCCCAGCCTTCCAGATTAACTGAGTCCCTGAGAAGCTGCTGCCGCTGTGGCCCTACTGCAGGGTGGGTCCCATCCTGGACTCAGTCCCGCAGTAACAGTACCTGGTTCCCAAAGCAACAGTGCTGAATCCGCCAGTGCTCAGAGTCCCACAGTAATGGTACTCGGAGCCCTACAGTAATGTTGCCCAGAGTCCCATGAACCAATACTCAGAGTCCCGCAGCAATGTTACCTGGAGTCCCACAGTACCAGTGCTCAGAGTCCCGCAGTAACATTACCCAGAGTCCCGTAGAAACAGTGCTCAGTCCTGTGGTAGTAGTGCTTGTGTCCCTGTGGTCAGTGCGTCTGAGTACTCAGTCCCTCTGGGTGTGTGGTGCCATGATCAGTCATGTAGAACCCAGACCATGGGTCACAGGAAATAGGCAGGGAGTGCCCGAGGAGCCATTACCCCGAGGGGACTTAACACTGGTTCCCCAAGACCCTGCCTGAGCCTGGACCCGGCCCTCTCCACAGCACGAAGCCCCTTCGTTCCTTTTTCTCCTCGTACCTAAAGTCGTTGCCAGCTGTGAGGAAGAAGCCGCTGTCCCGGCCCGAGAAGCCCCAGGAAGGAGCAGCCACGGACAGGGGGGAGGAGTGGAGAGACTTTGACAGGTGAGGTGCAGGAGCGGGCGTGGGGGCGGGGGTGGGGCGCGTGTGCAGCAGACACGGATGCAGAGACGCGTGTCCCGCAGGTCCAGGCTGTACACGGCTGACCTGGAGTCGGGCCTGCACTACCTCCTGCGTGTGGAGCTGTCTGCCCACAAATCTCTGGCCGGAGCCAAGCTAAAGACTCTGAAGGCCTTCATCACAGTCCTGGCCAAGGTGCGGGCTCGCCCCCTCCTGCTCGCCCTGGTGTGCTCTGGGAAGTAGCTCTGTGGGAGTCGTCCCCGCCTGAGTCGGCCAGTCCGTGGTCAGCCCCAGTGGGCCAGTCGGGTTCCTTCCACAGGGCCCCCTGTAAGGCCTCGGGCTATGGTGCCTTGTTTCGGGGTCACTCTCTGTGACCTGGGGCTGGTGGTGCCAGCAGCTGGGGTTTTGAGGTGGCCTGTTGGCCCCAGTGGGCTCTGAGCAGAGCCCAGACGGCCCTGGGGGCTGCGGAAGATGAGCCCTGCGTCCCCTCTGACCGGCTGGAGCATCCCTTTCTGCAGTCCCCCTCCCGGCAATGAGGCCCCCGGCAGCGTTCAGGGAGTGGCATGATATGGACCCTGGGGCCCACCCCAGCAGGCTCCGCGCTGAAGTGTGGCCAGGGTGTCCCAGTGGTCCCTGCCATGCTTCCTGCTGACAGAGCAGAGGGCACAGTGGCCCTGCCTCGCACTGGGGCATTCCAGAGCATTCCAGGCGTGTCCCCTTCCCCCACCCCAGTAGCCCACGGTTCCACTGTCCATGCAGCCCCAGGGGCAGCCCAAGGCAGCAGTCCACTGTCTCAATGTCCATGCAGCTCTTCCCCGGCCGGCCGCACGTCAGGAAGCTGCTGGAGGCGCTGCAGGAATGGCTGACCACCCTCCCCCTGGACACTGTCCCCTACCACGCTGTGCTGGACCTCATCGACAACAAGATGCGGGTGAGCCAGGTGGCCCCAGCTGCCCCCTGTGGTCCTGCTGGGGGAGGGTGCGGTGCCCCCTCCCGCCAGCCCAAGCCCGCCCCCGTGGCCCCTCTCGTCAGCCCGCGCCTGCCCCCACTGCAGATCTCAGGACTGTCCCTCACGAGCCGTGTCACATGGGTTGCATGTCAGGGGAGCCAGCCTGAGCTGCGGGGCTACACCTGCGCGCTGTGGGAGCTGTTCCACACACTCACTGTCGCCGCCTGGGCACACCCAGAAGCACTGGAGGGCACAGGTAGGGCCCCACTCCAGTCACAGCCCCCGTGTGGCCCCCGGAACTTGTGGGAGGGACCATTGGAGAAACGGGGTTGTGAGGGGACATGGGGGGGCTGGGGACTGGGGGGGGGCTGTTTGGAGGGAGTTGGGGCTACAGCTGAGACCCCACCGTTCTGGTTCAAGCCAGCCCCATTCTGTGAGAGGCTCTGGGGCAGGCTCACGGGGCCGAGCAGGCTTTGCTGTGGGAGGCCCAGGGCCCAGCCGGCCCTTCAGGACTTCCTAGCCAGCTGCAATGGCCCAGGCACAGAGCAGCCTCCAGCCGTGCTGGTGTTGCCCTCCCCACCCCCCCCAGACCAGAGGCAGCGAGTGGCACCTCAGAGAGGCCAGTGATCCGAGTTCTAGAACAGCATGGCGCCTCCCGGGGCGTCTGTGGGTGGCTGTGAGGCCCCCCAGACAGTAGCAGTGCGTGTGGCGGGGACCCTGTCTGGGGGCACCACTCGGACCCCAGAAGTGGGTCAGCCTGAGACGCTGGATTATGTGTCGCCGGTCTCCTCTTACTACACTGAAAGCCGCGCTAATCCTGCAGGTAGAGGGCGGTGGGAGGAAAGCAGATTATTGCCGGCTCAGCAGCTGGCGAGGGAGGGGCCTGTCCCGGCAGCAACCAGCCCCCCCAGCTGCTCCTCCCCACCTCCTCCCTGCCTCCTCCCTCCGACCCAGCCGCTCCTCCCCGGCCCCATCCACTTTACCTTGGGTGTCCACTCCCTAGGCCCATGCTGGCCTCTGCCCCGTTCCAGGAAACCCCTTACTTCCCGTCGGGGGTGGCGCTGTGCCCAGAACTTGGACCGGGACTGTCCCTCCCCATGGCCTGCCTTCCTGGGGTACACACACTGTGGCCAGAGGGATGGGACCCTGTGTGAGGGCGCCTGCCTTTAGGGTGCTGCGGGTAGGCCCCAGGGAGCTCCCTCAACAGACCCTCAGGTCCAGCAGGTCCTCATGTCCTCGGGTCAAGGGCCCCCCTAGCATTGCTGGCCCTGGGGACAGCCACTCATCCACTCCTCACCCGCCCTGTGGCTCTAGTCAGAAACACTCAGGTGCCACCTTACTGTGCACATGTGTTCCTGTGTGTGCAAATGTGTGTACATATGTGTGCCTTACGTGTGGTATCCACATAGGTGTTATGTGTTTAAGCATGTCTTTGGCTTATATGTGTCACATATACATCTATATGTATGTAAGTATGTGTGTAAGCGCGTGTATGGCTTACGTGTGTAAGCACATGTTGTGTGAGCACATGTACGTACATGTTGTGTAGCTGTAAGCACGTATACAGCTTACGTGCGTAAGCACAGGTATACATGTTGTATGTGTAAGCACATATATGGCTTATATGTGTAAACACATGTGCGGTGTGTAAGTACATTGTGTGTGAACACATGTCGTATATGTGTAAGCATGCATATTGTGTCTAAGCACATGTGGTGTGCTGTGAACATGTATGCACACAGCTGCCTCCCCCGCAGGTCTGGAGGGGGACCCGCAGGCGGTGCTGCAGGCCGTGCGGGGCTACGTGCGCACCTTCTTCGGCTGCCGGGAGTGCGGGGAGCACTTTGAGGAGATGGCCAGAGAGTCCCTGGACACAGTGAAGACCCTGGAGCAGGCGATTCTGTGGCTCTGGAGGAAACATAACGTGGTCAACAGCCGTCTGGCAGGTGAGGGCTGTGCGGGCCTGGGGGTGCGGCCCTGGGGGCGCTGGATGGGCTTTGTGCTAATCTTGAGCAGGACAGGCGTGTCCCGCCCAGCCCCTGCTCTCAGAGGGGTCTCCCTGTGGTGCTCCTGGCCCCCAGCCACAGGCCCTGCGGCGCTGGCCCCCTCAGCTCCGGCCCCAGTGGCCGAGCCTTTTGTAGCACTGACACTTGCTCTTGCGTCCCCCACCCTCCCAGGGGCTTGTCGGAAAGCAACCAAATAGGATGCAGGCGTTTCCTCAGCGTTAAATAATTCCAACTGTTCCTAAATCAGCAGCAGATTAAAATTAGGCTTAAAAATAATTCCACTGAGAAATCTTAATAGAGATGAGCAGAAAATGCACTAAACCATCGTATTTTATTTAATCCACCGTATCGTGAAAGCGCTTCACGACCGGGGCACTAAAGGGAATTGGTTTCTTCAGGTGCTCCTGGTGGGGGACTGCGGGCCCCCTGCCCACCCCCTTCCACGTGGGGGAGGTCGGGCACAGGCCCCAGCCCGTCCTAGGGGCAGGTGTGTGGGCAGGGGCCCCACCTGCCCTCTCCTGCTCCCTTGCCCCCAGGACATCCCAGCGAGGACCCCCAGTTCCCAAAGGCCCCCTGGCCCTCGCCGGACCTCTGTCCAGCCTGCCACGATGAAGTCCACGGCCTGGACCGCTGGGACGAAGAGCAGGTGCTGCTGTTCCTGCAACGCCACTACGGCGCCGCCAATCTGCTGCACACGCACGCCGCCGAGCCGGGGAGCCCGCGCCCACCCCCTGGCCCCCCTGGCCTCGCGCCTCGCTCGTCCTACAGGCCACTCGCTGGCCTCAACGCCCCCCGAGGCGTGGACGGGGCAGGCGGCCGTGCAGAGGAGGTGGCCGCGCCTTTCCTGGGCATGGGCTTCTCCGGCCTGGACATGAGCCTGTGCGTCCTGCTCTACGTGGCCTCCTCCCTCTTCCTCATGTTCATGTACTTCTTCTTCCGGGCGCGCTCCAAGCGCTGGAAGGTCCGGCTGGCCCACCCCGCCGTGTAGTGCGGCCACCACACAGGATCGTGCCCACGCCGTGCCCCTGCTCTTCGCTGGTGCCTTCCGCTCACCCGGAGTGCTGACTCCTTGGGGAGGGAAGGCCGGGCTGTGGCCCATCAGGCAGCGTGTCCCCATGGCCCTGCCCACCCAGAGGCACGAGCACCCCTACCCCCAGCTGTCTGTCCCCTCCCTGTGGCTCGTGGCATTGCCGGCCCTGGCCCCAGGTGCCCGATCTTGGTGGGAGGAGGACGGTGAGCTCTCGGCCCATTTGTAGTGCGGCAAACGGGCCCCTCCCACCCGCTGCCTCCCCGCCGGCCCCTCTGCTGGGCATCCTCCTGTTTTGACATGTCATCAGGAAACAACACGTAGAGGGAATCGCCTCCACACATGGAGCAGGTCACCAGGCCTCTGTGGACAGTGTCTCAGAGGTGTTTCTGCACACGGCTGTGCCTGTGTGCGCACATGTGCCTATTGGTATGTGTGTGTCTGCTTCTGTGCCCATGTGCCTGCCGGGAGAGTATGTACCTGCTGTGTGTGTGCCTGCGTGTGTGTGCACCTACTATGTGTGTGTGCATGCCTGTCGTGTATGTGCGCCTAGTGTTTGTGTGTGTGTGTGTGTGCTTGCTCTGGGTGTGTGCTGTTGTGTGTGTGCCTGCGTGTGTGTGTGCTTTTGTGTATGCGTGCCGTGTTTGTTGTGCCTGTTGTGGGTGTGTGCCTGTTGTGTGTGTCTGCCGTGTTTGTGCCTGCCGTGCGTGTGATGCTCAGTCCGTCCGTCCGTGGGCCCATAGAGGACAGCCCCTGCTGCTGTCTTGTGGCGCTGGGGGAGGCCCCCATGAACTGCTGAGCTGCCTCAGAGTCTCCGTATTCCATGTGCAGGGAGTGCTGGCGAGCACTGCAGCAGGAGCAGTGTTTGTAGGAGATCTGGGCTCAGTCCTCAGTGCCAGGATTCCCCCCTGAGGACTGAGGTTTGGCCCCAACCAATACCACCCCTCAGCAGCATGTTTCCATGGCTACTGTGTGCCCGGGCTGTGGGGTGCATGGTCAGACCCCCCTGGGAGCCCCTCACGGCCTTTGGAGGGACCGGGCTCTCTGCTCCAGCTGCCCGGGTTTACAGGAACCGCCTTTCCCAGGAGTGTGTGTGCACGGGCCACTGCACCCCTGGCTGTGCGCTCCCTGGGACGGGAGTCGGGGGTGTTGTGTTGGGAAAAGCAGCTTTTGCTGGGAACAGTGTGCCCGCCCCAAAATAGTGCCACCTCCCGGCCAGGGGAGGCCTATTTTCTAATTGTAGGGATTTAAGAGGTATGGAGACTAATGAATATGATAGTTCGGTAACTTAAATGTTTATTTATTTTTAATGGAAGGATTTTGATTAAAAGGAAGTTAATTGACATGGACTGTCCGGAATTTCTTACTTGCGACAAGAGTGAACATTTTGTACTTGTGTAAAGTATAATGGATACTTTTTAAAATAAAGCGATCCAGTGTCTGAGAATTGGTTTCTGTACACGGGGGCATCTCCCAATTTGATTGGGCCATCACCACGACCACAGCTGGTGTGGGCAGAACCTGGGACCTGGCACGGGCTTGTTGCAGCCACGTTTCAGCTGCAGCCGGCACTGCCCCATCGGTGGCAGGTGGGTGTAACGCGCCCCAATGCTCTGGCGGCAGCTTCCATATGGAACGGAAGCTGGAGGGGCATGAGTGTGGGAGACAGAGTCCTCCAGGCTGCTGGGCTGAGAACAGTGGAAGGGCTTGGCGGGGGCAGAGGAAGGTGCCCAGGTGCCCTCTGCCGCCCGGGCTGGAGGCTTTGGCATCACAGCCTCACATCGATACACTAGTTTTCTCCCGTACTTTTGTCTGGCTTTTGTCTGGGGGCTGCCTGGCAGCTGTATGCGTCAGGGTAAGGCCTTGGAGGTGGTTTGGGCGGAAGCGCTGCCCTGCGCAGAGGCCGCCTGTAACCTCACCCTCTGGCTTAGCTTGGGTGCCTGCCCAGCCCCTCCACCGCGGGGCCCCTGAGTCCTGAGGAGTTTCTCTCTCGGGCCACCGGGCCCCCCAGCTCGTGAGCTGTGCGGGGGCGCAGCCTTCCAGCCCAGCTCACTCCGCAGCGGCGCCGGGGCGGAGCCAGCCCGTGGGGGAGGGGGCCGGGACCTGGGAAGGTGTGGAGGTGGCGAAGAGGGCGGAGGAGGAGTGGGGGCGGGGGCTGGGGACGGGCCGGTGGGCAGTTAGAGGGGTCGGGGAGGCGGGAGGCTGCGCGCGCCTCCGTCAGCACCGCGGACAGCGCCGGGCTCACATCGCTGGCGCGGGCGGGCGCGAAGGGGCTGCCGGCCTAGGGCTCTGCCGCCCCCCGCCTGCCGGCCGCAGGATGCTACTGGAGACGGAGCTGCAGGGAGAACGAGACGGGCCTGGGGCCCCGGCCGCTGCCATCTGCGCCTTCGGCGGGCCCCGGGGTAAGACCGGGGGCCGGGCGGGAGGGCCAAAGGGGGCCCGGGCGGCGGGCGGCGGAGAGCCAGGGCGCACACGGCCGGGGGGCGGCCAGGGAAACCGTGGGCCGGTCCCCAGATGGGCCGAGCGCGGGCACAAGCTCCGGGAAGAGGCAGGGGGAGGAGAGCCCCGCCGGCCCGCGGCCCCCGCCCCCCGCCCGCCGCAGACGTTAGGAGATAATAGAGACGTTGTCCCCAGACGCCAAGACAGCGTGGGGCCTCCCCCGACCTGCTGCCGGGAGCGTCCACCGCGCCCGCCGCTTCCCGACCGGCCCTCAGTCCCGGAGGCACCAGTGGGGTCCCTGTCGGGGCGGGGCTCTCAGGCCTACCCGTCCGGGTGCCCGCACCGACCAGCACCCGGGCACCGGAGGGGGACAACAAAGGCCGCGCGGGGCACCTCCAGACGGTCCACGCTGCTTCCTGGCGCCTGCCCGCCCGGTGCCCGGTGCCAGGAGCCTGCGCTGCGGGGAGCGGGCTGGCAGGCGCAGGGAGCGGGGTCTGGGCCGCCCGCCAGCGCGCTCACCTGTTGAGGACGGGGCAGCGAGCGAGAGGGGGCCCCACGGGTCCGGACCCCAGGACCTCCCGCCCCACAGCCAGACGCGGCGTCCCGAGGCCCCACTTCCGCACCCGACCCTTCCTGGGACCCGCACGTGCCGCCCCCGGCCCGGCCCGGCCCGGCCCCGCCCCGCCGCGGCCCCGCCCCGCCCGCCGCTCCGCCCCCCCGCCCCGCCCGCCGGGGGCCCCGGCTCAGCAGCCCAGCGAGCCGGAGCGCTCGGACGCTCGGGCCAGGCGGGGCGCATGGAGGCGCGCGGGGAACGGGGCGCGGCGCGGGACGCGGCGGGCGGGGACCTGCTGCTGGCGCTGCTGGCGCGGCGCGAAGACCTGCGCCGAGGTGGGTCCCCGCGCCCTCGGGGTCTGGCAGCGGGAGCCACAGCCGCCGGGGCTGGGGGTGTTGGCCGCATCCCGGGGCGCCCCGGCCCCGGCCCGCCTCCCGCGCGTGTGGCCCGCCGGGTGCCCGCGCCCCCCTCGGTGCTGCGTTTCCTAACGGCGGCGGGACGGAGGGGCAGCGGGCAGCGGAAGGAGGCCGGAGCTGGAGCTGGCCTTGACCACCGCGCCCGGCGGGGAGACGCACGGGGGGAGCCGCTAGTCCCGACAGGTCCCGAGTGCGGGTGGGTCGGGAGCGGGGGACTGTGCGGGGAGCCGAGGACAGTGTGCGGAGCCGGGGGACAGTGCGCGGAGCCGAGGGACAGTGCGCGGAGAGGGGACAGTGAGCGGAGCCGGGGGGACAGTGTGCGGAGAGGGGACAGTGCGCGGAGCCGGGGAACAGTGTGCGGAGCCGGGAGTTGAGCGCGCTGGCAGTGTTTGCTGGACGCGGGACGAGGGGACAGCAGGCGCTGTCCGTCCCCAGTGCTGAATTCGGTCTGTTCCGTGGGGCTCAACCTGGCCCCCGTGGCCGCCGTGTGCGTCCGGCAGCCCCGTTCTGCTCCAGCCACAGTTTTGCCCGAGGCGGGTCTGTCCTCCAGGTTCACCAGAGCCTTGGGACTGGAAGGTCCAGCCGCGGCCGTTGCAGTGACACGAGGGACGGCTCGTTCGCTGTCTGAGCTCCTGCTCCTGCACTCGCTTCTCCGCGGGCATCTTCCAAATTTCCAGGCGCCCTGTGCTGTTCTCTCCGACCCACTGTCTGGGGTATCCCAGCCTGGGTCCCGCAGAACAGCTACGTGGCTGACGGCTCTGTGTGTGGGTCCCCGACCCCGCTGGTGCAGGTGGGGCTGGGGACGGGCACCCTCTTCCAGCCGCGCAGCTGATCTAGGGCAGGGCGTGGGGGCAGCACTGTTCCACCTCGGGCACACCTGAGGCCTGTCCCGGCTCTCCTGAGACATCCGTGGACTGGCCATGGGCTTTAGAACCCCGCAGGCCCCTGGCTGAGGTGTGGGCACTCCCTGACCGCGCCCCTGCCCCCAGAGATCCCGCTGTGCGCCGGCTGCGACCAGCACATCCTGGACCGCTTCATCCTCAAGGCGCTGGACCGACACTGGCACAGCAAATGCCTCAAATGCAGCGACTGCCACACTCCGCTGGCCGAGCGCTGCTTCAGCCGCGGGGAGAGTGTCTACTGCAAGGACGACTTCTTCAAGTGAGCGAACGCCCCGCACCCCCACCCTGAACCTCGTCTCGCCCCCGCGCACCCGCCCCGCCCCGCACCCCAACCCTCATCCGACACCTAAACCCCAAACACCCCAAGCCCCCGCATCCCAAACCCTGCCCCAAACCCCAAACCCCAACCCAACACTCCAAACCCCCACATCCCAACCCCCCCAAGCCCCATTCCCCCAAACCCCAAGCCCCAACCCCCTGCCCCACACCCCAAGCCCTGCCCCAGCCCCCAACCCCGCCCCATCCCTGTACCCCAAACCCCCACCCCGCACCCGCACCCCGACCGCCTCGTGGGCCCCCAGCACCCCGAGGGGCTCGCGCCGTTTGCATTTGGTTTTTATCCACCCGCCGCGCTCGGGCGGGCGGGCGACCCTGGACCCTGCGCCGGCGGCGGCCGCAGCCCTGACCCGCGCCGGGCGAAGGCGCCGCCGCCGCGCTGAGCCGCGCCGTGCCCTGCCCCGCAGGCGCTTCGGGACCAAGTGTGCCGCATGCCAGCTGGGCATCCCGCCCACGCAGGTGGTGCGCCGCGCCCAGGACTTCGTGTACCACCTGCACTGCTTCTCCTGCGTCGTGTGCAAGCGACAGCTGGCCACGGGCGACGAGTTCTACCTCATGGAGGACAGCCGGCTGGTGTGCAAGGCCGACTACGAGACGGCCAAGCAGCGAGGTGGGTGCGCGTCCCCAGCCGCGCCGAGCCCATCGCGAGACAGAGACCAGCTCGGCCGGGCGGCCTTCCCATGGCCTGGCCTGGGGCTCACTGTCCTGCATCTTCAGGACGGCGGGACCAGAGGCCCCGCGCAGCGACCTGCTAGCGTCCCCTAGGCCCCCCGTCCGCCAAGCCTCCCGGCCCGTCGTGGCTGTGGGGGTGCGCTCGGGTGCTTGGACGGAGCTTGGCGCTGGAGCCCCACGTCCCCCTGGAGGGCTGTGGGGGGCTGGAGGGCTGTGGGGGCCTGGGCGGGGCCGGCCTCAGCGCTCCGCCCCCCGCAGAGGCGGAGGCCACAGCCAAGCGGCCGCGCACGACCATCACGGCCAAGCAGCTGGAGACGCTGAAGAGCGCGTACAACACGTCGCCCAAGCCCGCGCGCCACGTGCGCGAACAGCTCTCGTCCGAGACCGGCCTGGACATGCGGGTCGTGCAGGTCAGCGCGGGCGGGGCGGGGCGCCGGGCCGGCGGGGCGGCCGCCGCACTCACGCCTCCTCCCCCAGGTGTGGTTCCAGAACCGCCGGGCCAAGGAGAAGCGCCTGAAGAAGGATGCGGGCCGGCAGCGCTGGGGACAGTATTTCCGCAGCATGAAGCGCTCCCGGGCCGGCCCCAGGCCAGGCAAGGACAGCGTCCCGGACGAGGCGCCAGACAGCGACGCCGAGGTCTCCTTCGCGGGTAGGCGTGGGCGCCGCGCCCCTGCCCACGTCGCGCCTCCCTAGAATCTTCTCTCGGGAGCGCGCAAAGCGCCCCGACCTGTGCCCGAGGCCACCCCGGTTCCGGATGGCGAACCCAGAGTCTGCCCGCCCCCCGCGGGGAACTCCAGAACGAAACCCGACCCTTGGGGTCGCCCAGCCCCCCCGGGTGGGGTGCGGGTGCGGCGGCCGGCACGGGCGCCCGCGATGCACGTTCCCCTTCCGTTGCAGACGAGCCACCCGTGGCTGACATGGGCCCCGCCAACGGCCTCTACGGCGGCCTGGGGGAGCCCGCCCCGGGCCTGGGCCGGCCCGCAGGAGCCCCCGGCAGCTTCCCGCTGGAGCACGGCGGCCTGGCCGGCCCG